ACTATGGAAAGAAGGCACACTGCATGTAAACTTTTAAATTGCATTTGGACATTTTCATTAGAAAAACATGAATATTCTGTCTTAAAAATAAATTTAATTTATTTGATTTGTACACAAATTCCCGTTTGTGGTCTTCCAAATAAAATGCCCTCCACGCTCACATAAAACACAATAGGGAAAAAAAGAACAAAATATTGATTTTACTGAGCAATTTTCTTCCATAAAAGATAAAAGTTTCCCCTTGCACATATGTGCTAGTTGTTCCCGACTCTAGGGGGCAGTGCTCATCTCTGTTTCAAAGCCAAAGAGCCAGTGCTGTCCGAAGACATCTCCATGGTCATGTGGCTAACATGACTAAACACTGAAGGCGCATGGAACGCGTTTACCTTCCCAACAAAGGTGGTCCCTATTTTTCTACTTGTATTTTTACATGCTTTCTAGGTTGGCAGAAGCTGGGACAAGTAACACAAGCTCACTCCGTTATGCAGCACTAGGAATTCAAACTGCCAACCTGCCAACCTTTCTGACCAACAAGGTCAGCATCTTAGTCACTGAGCCACCGTGTCCCTCTTTTTTTCCCATAGGCCAGTGGTTCTCAACCTGTGGGTCGCAACCCCTTTTGGGGTCGAACGACCATTTCACAGGGGTCGCTGAGACCAGCACAACTCTAAACTTTAGACTCCACCTCATTCCATGAAATCCCTCGCGGATGGGCTCTGGAGTCATCGCCGGCAGCGCAGAGCATCGCTGCGGCTCCACGCTGTAAAAAACGTAGGTGCGTGCACACACCACGTACAATTAGCCTCAGAGACTTCATAATGGCGGGAAAGTGTTCCTGCGAGGGAGGAAGGGGCTTAGGTCCTGCTCCAAGCTGTAATTGTGCAGGGCATGCACGCGGCTATGTTTTCCATACCGCTGCCAGGTACTTTTAACTATATCTAAATCCACAACCAGACCTGTCATCAAGAGCCAAGCTCAGGAGCCTGAATTAGCCCCATTCACACAATGAAAATCTGCTTGCTAAAAGTACCATAAACCATGCACAAAGGAAAAGAGCAAACAAAAATGCAAAGCAAGTAAACAATTTAAAAAATGATACAATTATTATTAGAAATAAAATTTAACAGAGAAAATGATATGTATGGAAAATATAAAGTTGGGTTTCCTGAAATGCCACCCTGAGAATCCATCAGAGAAAGTAAATAAGCAAGGGCAACAACGGAAAGGAGGAAAGATGAGGAGGGAAAGGAAGAAAGGGTAAAGCAGAGGAAGAAAGGGAGGGGAATTAAGACTAGGAGAGAGGGTAAGAGGGAGGAAGGAGAGGAGGGAAAGGAAGAAAGGGTAAAGCAGAGGAAGTAAGGGAGGGGAATTAGGAGTAGGAGAGAGGGTAAGAGGCAGGGGTGGGTTCCTGCCAGTTATAACCTCTTCTATAAAAGAGGTTCCACAAATCTACAGTGCCATTTAGAACCGGTTCCAGCTCCCTCCCCCCGCCCATCCGCACATCATCAAGATGAAGAGCGAGAGGAGGAATTCTCAGAGTTGAATTCCACAAGTCTTAAAGCTGTCAAGTTTGAAAACCCGTGGGGATTTTTTTCTAAAGGGTTAGGGG